AGTATATAGAAATTTTTTTAAAAATTTCGGATTATTGTGGCAGTTTTCAGTTTCAATTAAATCGATTAAAAAAATTATTCGTTTATTTTAAGTTTTGTTTTGTAAATAGCTTATATGCAATATAAGTTCAAAATATTTTTTAAAACATTTACTTTTTCAAAATTGTTGGCAACTTTCAGTTACATTTAAATTGATTAAAAAAGTATTTGTTGCGTCTAAGTATTGTTTTAATCATCATCAACGCCGGCCATAGTTTTTTTGATAGGTCGGGTAAAACTTTTAGACTCGCCCCTATGTAATGTTGATGTTACCAGTGGAAGGTTGGTAGCTTAACATTAACAAACGAGCGAGGCCAATATACACAAATTGCAGATTAGGTACTAAAGTGATTTTTTAATTAATTTTTAATCTAATTAACCAAAAGACCACTAGATGAACTTTATAACAGATGTTTTTATTACACAGATAACAAATTCTTTTAATTAAATCAGCAAAACACTGATTAAAGTTATTAAAATGCAACTCTTCTAGCTTTTTGTCAGCAAAATTTTTTATCAGGTTTAAAAAATCTAAATTTTCTACCATTTCTTGTTCTATTTTTTGATTGAGTTAAGATTGTTAAGTTGTTAAGAATTAAGTCGATCTTGCAACATAATGTTTTTTAAATTTGTTTTAATAAGATTCAGTTTAAAGAAGCTACGATTCTCACTTGCAACAGTTACAGGTATTGTAAGAAGAATGCGCGGAATAATCCATGTGTTTTGCTATAACTCTTTTAAAGAATGTTTTTTAATAAAATTCGATACAATAAAGGGTGTCATGTGCAGCATCACTAATAACTAAATTGAGAAAATAACTTTCACAAAGTATGTCAAAAGCCAAAAAATTTAAATCCCTTTTTTGATTATATTAGAATCACGCGTTATTTTACGTTGTAAAATAATTTTCAAGTTTTTTATAATTTTTCTCAAAATCAACAAATTTTCGGCTTTACGTTTTCTGTACTCAGCACCAGATGGTCTTTTAATATAAGCTTTAAAAGAAAAATTTTTTTGACTACCTGATATCAGCTTTTATTCTTACTTTATGCAATATAGGTCATAAATATATTTTAAACAGTTTTTCTGAGTTTTTTTTAGCAATTTTCAATTACAATAAAATCGATTGAAAAATTATTTGTTTATTAGGAGATTTTTTTGTTTCATTAGCAAGATATCTTATTTTTTTTCATTTTGTTTTGGCAATTTTCAATTGCAATTAAATCCAATATAAAAAATTATGAGTTTATTGTGAGTTTTGTATTTTTATTCTTATAGCATGATAGCTATATTTTAATAGAATACATTGATTGTACCGATATCGATCCAAGAAATTTTTTGACACTTTGGGCAATTTTTAACTACTTTTAAATCGATCAAAAAATTTATTCACATTCTCTTAACAACGTTCTTTACAAACGCTCAGATCATAATTCTTCTGATGCCGAATCTTTTACTCTTGTATCTTCTTTTGCTAACTTTTTCAAGGAAAAAATAAATTCTATTCATTAATCTATTGCTACAACAATTGCTTCTTCTAACATTTCTTCTTCAAACCATAGACCTCTTTCTTCCTCTCTTTTTCAGCTGTCACCTCATAAGAAATTCTAAAGCTCATTAACTCTTTGCCCAACAAAACCTCTCCATTTGACATTATTCCAGTTTTTATTATTAAAAAATTTTCCCATTTTTTTGCTCCATCACTTTCTAAGCTCTGCAATCTTTCTTTAAAAAACATTTTCAAACTTCATTTAAGATAGCTCAAATTCTACCTTTACTGAAAATTTAACCTTGATCCATCTGATCCATTCAATTACCGTCCTATTTCCAACCTTTCAACCTTCTATAAATTACTTGAACAGGGTTCTCACTCATATTACTTAATCTCCTAGTTTCTATTCTTTTCAATCCGCTTACAGAAAATGTTATTTCGAACAACCTGCTAGCATATGGGGAAACCAAAATTGTGCTGTCGTGGTCAGGCTGGATCTTTCAGCAGCTTTTGATACCATTAATCATATAATGCTTGTTGACAGTATTGGGGCAGAATATGGCACACAAGATCTGGTTTATCCTGGTTTCAATCTTATCTTTCTAACCGTTCTCAATATATTAAGCTTGGCATGACACATGTATAATAGCTAAAATTCCCACTTCCAATCATATATTTCAGCTTGACAACTTAAATGCATGTACTATGGCCATAAACGATTGGCATTTATCAAATTTTCTTCAGTTAAATCCTCACAAATCTGAAGTTATGTTTTTTGGCACTTCGCAACAGCTTATCAAATGTTCTCCCTCATCACACGTTTTATTGACCGATTCTTCTCTCTTTTAAACCCCCAAACTTAAAATTTTTAGGCTTAATTTTTGACTTTTTTCCATTTTTTAATTCTCATGTCTTAGCTTTGATCAAATCTTGTAACTATTATACTTAGACTATTCGTCATATTCGTAAATTTCTCGCTGAAAATATTGCTTTTGCACTGGCTCGATGTCTTTTAGTATCACGTTTAGATTATTGTTATTCTCTTTTTTACGGTCTTCCTTTCTACCTTTTAACTTTACTTCAAAGAGCTCAAAATAGAATTGCAAAAGTTGTTTTAAATATCAGTAATTTATTTTCTAGCACAGATTTACTCATTCAACTGCATTGGTTACCAGTATGTTAACGCATTATCTTTAAACTCGCCGTCCTCGCGTACAGGTTACTTAATACATCTCAACCATCATATCTTCATCAACTTATATCGCGTTGTCCATCATCTCGTCAACTTCGTTCTACTTCATATACTCAATTGCATTAACCTGTCAGCAATTCATCAGTTGTCAACAAGCGTTTTACGTACAGCTCTCTTTCCATATAGAATAGTTAGCCGGAAATCATTCGTCAACAACCAACCATCAAACTTTTTAGAAAACGATTAAACAAATTTTGTTTATCCAGGCCTACGGAAACGTCAAAGTCATTGTTTATCCAAGTGTCCCTGAAGTTATGCATAGGACGAAATATAAATTAATAACAATACAATAATAATAATTAGTTTAGTATGAGTTTTTTTTTTATTATTTAATAGCAGAATAGCAAACTCAAAAAAGTGCCTACATTATACCCAGTGTAGGTTCATGATATTTTTTAAAAGATTTTTTAAATTTTTTGGCAACTATTTATTACATTTAATACAATTAAAAAAATAATTCTTTGTGACTAAGTATTTTTTTAATGTTTATAGCAGAATAGTGATTTTGTTTTTGTTATAGCTTATGTGCTGTATACGGCAAAAATATTTTTTTTAATTTTTTAAAAATTTTTTTGGTAATTTTCAATTACTATCAAATTGATTAAATAAAATAATTTTAAATTTTATTATAAATTTAGTTTTTTTATTTTAATAGCAGAATAGTTATTTTGTCTTTTGATATACAACTAATGTCCAAACTATTACAATTTTTTGGCTTTATCAATAGATTTGTTTCAGGTTCACATGTTTCAATCAATCAAACAGTCAGTCAATCAATCAATAAAGCGCTATTTTCGCGATTTTCAACAGCGCTTCTCAATGAATTATGCAAAAAGATGCGTCTTGAGATCCGCTCTGAATTTTGTAAGTGATGGAGAAGTGATCAGAGAAGGAGGAAGAGAGTTCCAGAGAAAAAGTCTAGAAAAAGCAAATGCAGATTCAGCAAAAGAGTTTTAAACACGAGTTAAGAAAAAGTGAGAACAAGACGTCCGTAAACCGGGGCGTTTAGGTTCAATTAGTATATCTGATAAGTACTTAGGTTATAATTCAGATTGAGACTTAAACATAAATGTGCAAATTTTTAAAATTATTTCATATTTTATAGGTAGCCAGTGTAAGAGAAAAAGATGTGGAGATATGTGAGAAAAAAATGGGGCACGAGCAACTAGACGAGCAGCAGAGTTAGAAGCTTTACTTAAAGATTAGAGTGTAAAATCTGGAAGACCATAGTAGAGGGAGTTACAATAATTAATCCTAGATAAAACTAACAAATTTACAAAAAGGAGAAAAGTAGGATCGTCAAGAAAAAGCAAAAGATTTTTTATATTCTACGTAGATGAAAGTAAGAACTTCCAGCAACACTATTAATCTGAGAAAAAAAGAAACATACTAAAATCAAAGATAAAGCCTAGACTACGAAACTTAAGAGAAACATCAAGAATTTTAGAATCAGATAAATTAGTAGGAGGAATACTAATAGTGTGTTTAGATTTATTAAAACAAATTAATTCATATTTAGAAGGTTTAAGTTTAAGACGCATAGAGTCAGATAATTGAAGAAAGGCATAGATTATAAAATACACTATTGAGATTAGATGAAGGAAAAAAGTATAAATATAAAAATCATTAGCATATAGTTGACTAGTGATAGAAAATTTATTAATGATACAAGGTAGATCAGAAGTATAAAGTATAAATAAAAGAAAACCAAGGATAGAACTCTGAAGTACCCCGAAAGTAAGGGTAGAGGAGTTAGAAGTAAAATTATTAAGAACAACAGAAAAACAATGATTTGTAGGGATCAAACATTCATTTATTAACAATCCTATGTATTAATTATTATTAAAGATTATTGCAATTTTCAATGTTACCTAATCTATGTTCGTTTTTATTTTTTTGCTTCTCTCTCGACTTCTTTTCCTTTTTCCTGAGAGCTTGTAAACGAAACGGTTCGAGATTCACGTTAAAGAAAAGTTAATATTTTATTACGCCTGAATTGTGTTTGTTTTATTTATTTTAACTCACAACAAGGTGCCTTGTTAGTAGCAGAAGTTCGTACTAACAAATTGGTTACCCCGACGTGATCTGAACGAAAACCCGACGTGATTTGAACGAAAAGCCGACAAAATTTGAACGAAAATCTCACGTGATTTTGAACGAAAATGCGACGTAAAAAAAATACGAAGAACCACGCGGTTAGATCAAAAAAAAAAACAAAATGTTCCAACCAAATGATGACCCGATCGTCATATTACCTCTTTTCAAGAAAACAGCGTCAACAGATTGGTTCGAAAATTCCGAAATGCAATTTCAATTGCGAAACGGGATGTGTACAACAACAAGATTCTATAACGTAATAATTACCTTGCCGTTGGATATAGTTTCAAATTTGTCATTAAAAGTGCAAAGAGGAACAGATTACGACGTTCTAAAAGCAGAGTTATTATCAACGTTCAAACAAACCAAACCAGAGCAATTCCAAGTGCAAAGAGAAACAGATTACGACGTTCTAAAAGCAGAGTTATTATCAACGTTCAAACAAACCAAACCAGAGCAATTCAAAGAAAAAGAACCTTTTAAAATAAATTTGAATCTGATGAATGTAAACAAAATTGAAAAGAGGCAGCCACCAGAAGAGTCCAATAAAATAAAAGTTGTCCTGAGCAAGAACAAAGATAAAAATGACATCCAACAATCTTAACAGCAAAACGCTGAGCAGAATGTTACCATCCCATCGGCAAATTCACACATTAACGATTCTCTCCTTCCAGTTCTCTCTCTTCCTTCTCTTGTTCAACAGCAGCAGCAGCAAGATAATCACAGAAAGAGAAAAGCAGAGCATAGTTCATCGCCTTCACACACATCTCCTTCTAGAAATCGTTTGCAGCTGGACAGAAGGTTGCATATGAGAGGCCAGAACAAAATTTGAACCAGCAACCAAAACGGCAACTGCGTTTTCAGCAACAACGCCATCATTAACATCTCATGAAACAAGATAAATGTCAACCACATTATCAGCGACAAAAACAACATCATTACGAGAAACAAGTTAAACGCCAGCGATATCAGTACCAACAACCGCATCTTCAAAGAAGAGTAAAAAAAACAAATTCAACTCAAAAAACAAACATTTTTCCATTTGAATGGCTCCGCTTTTTGCGGGAAATATTATGAAATAATAATATCTTCAGCAATAGCAGTAACAGGAACCAACTTCTTATTACCAAGTCGATTTTTATTCCCAGATTCAAATGAAGATATAACATCTAGTCAAATCAAACAACTAGCAAAAGAAAAGTTTAAACTTAATGACTACCTAACAACTAACAATCAACATCACTCTACCCCAAAAGCTTACGTACCAAATGACCTTTCAAACAGTAGTCACGTATGGTTAAGAGTAGATCTAGTACGTCGTCCACTGGAAGCACCATATACAGGCCCTTTCAAAGTGATTGAACGTAACAATAAATATTTTAAAATTGAATTGTTACCAGGAAATTTTCAAAATGTGTCAATTGATCGATTAAAGCCAGCTTGTTTATCATTACCTCTAACAGCCAAAACCAGAATAAACAACAAGAATAGTTCGACAGCGAACAACAAACTTTCTACAACAGATTTAACAAAACCAGCAACATCAGACACAAAATCTACTGAAACACCAGAAACAGAAACACCAATATCAGGCGCAACAACAACACAAGAAGCAAGACCAACGTCAACCACATCGGAATCAACAACCCAACACTCCAGAAAAGGGGGGCGAATAACATTCAACAAACGAAATAAATATTTTTATTTTTAAACGGCTCCGCCTTTTGTGGGGGAGTATTGTAGGGATCAAACATTCATTTATTAACTATCTTATTTATTAATTATTATTAAAGATTATTGCAATTTTCAATGTTACCTTATCTATGTTAATTTTTATTTCTTTGCTTCTCTCTCGACTTCTTTCCCTTTTTTCTGAGAGCTTGTAAACGAAACGGTTCGAGATTCACGTTAAAGAAAATATTTTATTACGCCTGAATTGTATTTGTTTAATTTATTTTAACTCACAACAAGGTGTCTTGTTAGTAGCAGAAGTTCGTACTAACAGATTACAGAAATAAGAAGAATTAGTAATATTTAAAAAAAATCTAACAGCCTCAAGAGAATAATATGATCAACAATATCAAAAGGAGAGGAAAAGTCAAGAAAAGAAGAATAGTAAGGCTACTATTGTCACTAGAGAGAAGGATATCTCTAGCAACGTTATTAATCTGAAAAGAAAAAGACAGGCTAGAATCAAATATAAAGTCTAGACTACATAACTTTTGAAAAACATCAAGAGTTTTAGAATCAGGTAAGATAATAAAAAAAATAGTTATAGATCGTTGAGATTTATTGAAACATTATTGCTTGTGTGTTAAGACTTTTGATGAAAAATTCTTTAATAAACATTTACACAACCAACTAAAACAAAATTTAATAAAAAAAAATATTTTATTCATTAAATATTTTCTTTTTTGTTTTGCATCATAACTTTTGGTAAACATTTAATCACTCTTTTCAGCCAGCTTTCCATAAATTGTTATTGTAAACCCAGTACATAAAACTGGGCTTTCTCACGTTATGGTTTCTAGACTAGCGTATAACTCGTACTCGGTCGTATAAAATTATTTCTTTGCTCGTTATCGAAGGTTTCCGCATGGATGCAAACTTGCAATATTGTTCAGAGTGTATGAAGAATAATGTCGTTACGCCTTTGGAGACGTTCAAAGTTAATTTTTCTGAATATTTGATAATGTGCCCCAATAAAAAGGTTTTTATCTTTTGCTTCAATGTTTTATTTTTATTTGATCTTGATGTATTTGATTTGGTAATTATGAAGAATACGCTGTTAAGCTCTACCTACTTTTTTTGATTGTCACTTATTACATGCATAGAAACTATACTGTACAGAAAGTATGCAAAAAATACAGGCACCAATGTTATAATCAGTGCCTGTTGATGACAAGTTCGATTTATATTGGTATTCCCAATGAAAAGCTGACACTTCGAATCCGTTACAGCTTTGGACATACTTCTGACCACCTTTTCAATACTATTGCTGAGGGCCTCCACCGAAGTACTGTTGATTCGAAAAATTTACTCATTAATCCCTCAGAATGAGCCAATGACATGAGCAAGTTTTCAGTGGACTTTTCAATTTCCTTCATAACTGAGTCATACCTTTCAAAAAATTTTTTGAGGCCTCTATATGATAATGTCATAACTTCCTAGAGATCGTCATGGAGTCTTTCCAATGGCTTGTCAAAGCATTTCAGCATTGTTGTAACCTTGAACGCTCGTTACAACCAACACCATTGTTATAACTTCAATGATCTCTATATTTCCAACACCAAAGTTGTAGCTTCGAACGATTGTCAAGTTACCGTTATTCTGTAGTTTTAAGATTCCCGTTAGATGAACACAAATGCTTCAAACGCAAACCTTGTCGAATTTGAATGCCAACAGTAATAGAAACACTAAACTAATCGAAATAACTACACAAATCACATTTACGACTAAGGTATAATCTGAAAAGTTTAAAAATTTTCCTTGCATAGCCAGATTGACAAACTATTATGCTTCAATCCAATAGAGTTTCTATTTGAAGACCTAAAAAATATGTTGCAGGTTTAACTGTAACCTGATTTTCAGCTTCAATTTTCTAACGAATAGATCTGAAAATCTTTTCCCTACAAGTTTTGCCTTGTAACTATCTACACTTCCGTCTGGCAAGGTTTTTTATTTTGTAAACCCATTTACATGGAATTACTTTAGCTCCTTTGGGTAGCTCACAAAGTTTACAAGTTCTATTTTTGTTTTATGAATTAATTTCATTATTAATTGCATCATTCCAGTATTTACTTTCCCTGCTTTGAATGGCTTCTTCGAATGTATCCGGTTCATGTACATCTAATAAATATGCCTCAGCCTGCATCACATAATCAATTAACTTCCTAGGTTTCTGCAAGCTTGACCTATCTCTGAGTTGAACTTCAACTGAATTATCTATAGTCTTCTCAGCTCAGTGTCATCTCTAATTTCTTCTTTTGAATCATCATTTCTACTACTTGAGCCATTTTCTGATTTGCAATTGATTTGAGAATTTTTGTAGAATCCTTTGGAATCCGATGTTCAAAGGATGCTGTACATCTCATAGGTTTTTTTGGAAAACAACATCTCTTGATAATATTATTTTATATTGATTTTTGAGCCACATACAATAGCGATCGTCACCATCGTAACCAACAAGATAACCTTTTATGACTTTCTTATCCATTTTCTAACGTTTTTGATCAGGTATGTGAACAAAACATGTAGAACAAATTATTCTCAAAGGGTAAATTTTCGGCTTTTTACCTGTCCAAACTTCAAATGGGCTTTATTCTTCAATCGACGACTTGCCTATTTGATTAAATAAATATTCTGCAGTTAAACATAGCGGCTGGAAATTCAAAATCTGGATTTGAGTACTTCAATGTGCATGCCATTTCTACTATTGCTCTGTTTCCACGTTCACTACCACCATTTTGTTGAGGTGTATATGGTGCTGTTAGTCTTTGCATGATTCCATCACTGCGCAGGATGTTTCGAACTTTTTCGTTGTCAAACTCACCTCCATTGTCACTCAAAAATTCTTTTACTTTATGACCTTGAGTCGCTGCTTGAGACAAAATATTTTGTAGTGCCTGTTTCACTTCATTTTTGTGTCTCAGAAAAGTGATCAATCTCATTTTGCTGTAATGATTTTTAAAAACTACATAATATCGTTTACCACAAAGTGATTCTGTGCTGAAATGACCACAAACATCTGCAAATAGTAGATCACCTAGTTTATTGGTTGCATTTGTCTTGCCAAATTTTAACCGTTGTGCTTTACCATAGAGACATGGTTCACACAAATCTTTGTCAAGATGAACTTTGATATTTAATTCCTTTTCTATAACATTCTTTATGTGACGTTTACATTGATGACCAAAATGTTCATGGTAGAGTTGCACTATTGAATTTTTACTGACTATATTCACTTCAGTTGGTGTTTCTGGAGTTAATGAAATCAAGTTTGCCTCATACAAGAAACCATCTACTCGTCCTGTCCCTTGTACGACCTTTTGGTTCTTTATACTGAGTTGACATTTGGTTGCATAAGATTCAAACTTGCTGCTTTTTTAACTTTTATCTTGTGCGGCTAATATGGAAAACAGGTTTCTACCTATATTTGGAACATACCAGACATTTGAGAGTTTTATATACTGTTGTCTGTTATTTACTATTGACAGCATATTTATTTCGCCTTTACCCACAGCAGCAAGAACTTCTTTTCCTGTAGCTAGAACAGAACGTGGTGCAACAAACTTCTCAAAAGCAACAAAATTATCTTGATTGTTCGTTAGGTGCTTTGTTGCTCCATTGTCAATATACCACTTAGTGTTGTCTCTAAATGTTTGATAATTGGCTGACGTGCAGAAAACTACATTTGATGTTTCTTCATATGCTTTTCTTAGTGTCGCTGAAATATTTCTGAAATTTTTAGAGGGTCTTCCATCACTGATCCACTTTCTACAGTGCTTAACCCAGTGTCCAGGTTTATGGCAATAGTTGCAGTTACCAACTGGTTTTGTCCTTTTAGTGAAATCTCTTGATTTGTTGAAACTTGACTTTTCAACATTTACAACATACTGCTTTGTTGATTTATTGATTGTGTCGAAAGTCCTTATCTCTCTTTCTAAAAAACACAGAGATGAGTGATTAAATCATTTATTAACTGCTTTTCTTCACCTAGCATTAGCCAAATTGATTTGAAGTTTTGGATACTATTTGGGAGAATCGTCATCGCTTTGCAAACTAATGGCAACCCTGGTAGTTTATTTTGTCCAGACACCTGAAGTCCACTGTTTAACTTGTCCCACAAAGTTTTCAATCTTGCTATTTGGCCAGATACATCCAAATCCGCTATCGGTTCTGGAGCAACGGCCTTCTTGTGGTGGAACCGATTGGCGTCGTGGTCAGGATTTCTCCTCTCCTCCTCGTCAACAAAGCGTTTCAGCAACCCCTCCCCAACACGACTTCACCGTTCTGGGTTTTTGCCTGGGGAGCAGTCCTCGCCGGCCGGCCTGCTCCGTATGCTATTACTGCAGGCCGGCATTGAATCCAACCCAGGTCCGAAGATATGGATCTGCGAGATATGTAACAAACGTGTCAACAAAACCCACAACTCTGTCCGCTGCAGAACATGCTGCAAGTGGACACACCTCAACAACTGCACCACTAACTTAGGAAGTTATTATCTCTGTAATAACTGTCCTAACCCTACTACAATTCCTGGCTCGCCGGTGCGTGGTGCGCAACCCAATCGTCTCATCATCCGCAATAAAACATCTGCAACACCCAACATCAATCTAATCTCGCACTCGGACAGCAAGCTGAATATTCTTCAATTCAACTGCAACGGTCTCAAGAATAAGAGTGCCGAGATTGCTCATCACCTATCCATACACAATATCTCAATCGCCGCCCTTCAGGAGACGAAACTTTCAACTCGCTCTGCTGTTCAAGAATTATGCTATATACCGGAAAGACCGGAAAAGTGGTCGTGGCGGCGGCCTCATGATGCTGATACATTATAAGATCCCTTACACCATTAAACAGCTACCTGATACAGATACCACGGAGAGCCAGGGGATCACCATCATGGCTGATGGCACCGAGATAAATATAGTGAACGTATATATCCCTCCTCAATCTGCTTGCCCACCTCATTTCTGCGCCTCAATAGCAGACTTATTGGAATTCCCTAACATCATTCTACTTGGCGATCTAAATGCTCATGATGGCCTCTGGTACTCGGGTATTAGTGATGCACGTGGCGAAACGCTGGCGGCGGAAATAGACGATTCCGACTGCTGTACTTTAAATCTTTACTGCCCTACCAGGCTTCCATCTAATGGTCAGCCAACTTCTCCAGATCTTTCTATTGCCTCTATCTCTTTGACTAACTGCCTTAATTGGTCAGCAGTCACAACTTTTTCTTCAGACCACCTGCCAATTCATATATCTCTCGACCTCCGCATTTTTCCTACCAAAAACCCAAAAGTAACGTTTATCAACCTTTCAAAAGCCAACTGGCCGGGTTTTATAGCTGAATCAAAACTTGCATTTCAAAATACACTCTTCCCCAACACTGTCACCGCAGCCGAAAGAGCGTTCCGCAGGATCTTAGACATCGCCGGTGACCACAACATCCCTTTTGGTAGGCTCATCAATTCCCAGCCAGGGCTCTCGAAGGAAGTCACCGAGCTGATCCGCCGAAGAGATGCTCTTAGGCTCTCCAACCCATCATCCGACAATATCTCAACTCTTTCAAATGACATTCACAACAAAATCAATAGTATCAAAACAACAAAATGAAAGGACTTCTTAAGCACTTTCAACCGACATACCAACCCTAAACGTCTTTGGAGCGTCATCAAGTCTCTCAACGGCAGACCCAAACTCAATCTCAACAACGCCATTAACTTCAACGGTAAGCCAATCTCAAATGGGCTTGATATGGCCAACCTTTTCAATAAATCCTTTACCTGCTTTAGTCAGCATAAAACCAATAAACTAAACAGGTCCATCAACCGTAAGGCAAAACGGAATTGCCTATCCGATCACCCTACATTCATGGTGGATCAGGTGTCCGCCGCCATCAAAACGGCCAAGGCATTTAAAGCCTCTGGCCCAGACAACATCACCATGCTCCACCTAAAAAACTTAGGTCCTTTGGGTCTGGCGTTCTTAACCAGGATCTTTAATGAGTCACTCAGATCCTGCTGTATCCCAGATACCTATATGAAGGCCCGGATCATCCCTCTTCTGAAGCCTGGTAAGTCTGATGAAGACGCCAAATCCTACAGACCCATTTCACTTCTCTGCCCTGCCGTTAAGATCCTCGAGAAATGCCTCCTCCCATTTATTTCTGATCATCTGTCCCCGGTTTCCGTTCAGGACACTCCACTACCACTGTTGTCTCTCTCCTTTCTATGGATGTTGCCAATGATTTCAATCAGAAGAGACCTGCACATCGAACCACGCTGGTAGCTTTGGACCTCTCAAAGGCTTTTGACATGGTCAACCACGGAATTCTTATTTCGGACCTTTTGAAGTCCTCGCTGCCTAGCTCCATTTCACGCTGGTTGTCAAACTACCTGCACGGTCGGTCTGCTGTAACCAGTCGTCTAAACAGAGGAACATCCATACAGGAGTTCCTCAAGGTTCAGTCCTATTCCCTGCGTTGTTCAATTACTATGTCTCACGCATTCCTGAACCACCATCTGATATCAAGGTAATATCATATGCGGACGACTTCTCCGTCTACACGACCGGCCCGGGTGTGGATATTCTGACACAGCGACTCAACAACTATCTCCCTCTCTTGATAAACTTCTTCTCTCTCCGCGACCTGGAAATATCCACTTCTAAATCTTCTATAACTTTGTTCACACCTCACACAGCGCAATACCACTATCATCCACAAGTAAAGGTAAACGGGCAGGTTCTACCGCTAGAACATAACCCGAAAATTTTTGGCCTCACTTTCGACCCGATGCTGACCTTCACTCAACACCATAAATTGTCAGCATCCAAGGCCACAAAACGGAATAATGTTTTAAAAGCTATCAGCGGCACCACCTATGGCCAAGATAAAGAGACCCTCTTACAGGTCTACAAGGCCATAGGCAGATAAACAAAGGAATATGCCTGCCCGGCCTAGTCGTCTCTCTCTTCGGAATCCAATCTATGCCGTCTTCAACGCGCTCAGAATGCTGCACTGAGAATCGTCACTGGCTGTCACAAAATCGCATCCGAGAAGCATCTGCTGTCCGAGTGCTGTTTGCTGTCAATAAAACAGCATACAGATCTACTGTCAAAACAATTCATCACAAAATGTTTCGACCCTCAACATCCATGCCATAGATTGTTGTCAGCCGAACTTCCCCCTCGTGTGATGAAAAACACTCTGATGTCAAAATGGGGAGCCACAGTCAGATCCATCTTACACACTAACTCGGATAGTGCAAGTATCAATACGGCTATTCGGTACTTACATGGCATGGCTGCCAAGGCCGCTGCGGAGGCGTACCACGCGCCGATCCTGCTTAACGGATGGCCCCCTCCACAACCACAAATAGACAGCTCAGAGGAATCTCTGCCTCGGGCAATAAGAAGAACTCTGGCCCAACTCCGATCTGGCCACAGTATCATCCTAGGCAGTTTCAGGGAAATTATTGATGGCGGTACAAGTGATGTGTGTCCTCACTCACACGCACGTAGACGACGTGCCCATCAATCATATCAAGTACGCCCTCACGGTAGTCCATGAAATCTCGAATATGATGTTTCCAAATGAGTCAATTGGCTGCGCAACTTAACTGTTTTATTTGAAGCTTTGAATCTATTTTGAAGAAAAAAAGATGATGTTCTTGCTTCAACGAGAACTGGAAAAGTTCTTCTAGTCACGAATTGCAATTCTTATTATGGTCGCCGCTGAGATGCTATAAGGCGTGCGGGTTCGCACGACGAATTGAACGTGTTAATGCTATAAAGCGTGAGGCCGCACGGCGAATTAGACGTTGAGATGCTATAAGGCGTGCGAATGGTGGGTGAATACGACGCTTGAAATTATAAATCGTGAGGCACCCGCACGTCGAATTCGACGTTGAAATGCTATAAGGCGTGCAAATCACGAATGGGTGAACACGACGTTTAGACGCTTGAAATCATAAATCTTGAAAAACTCGCACGTCAAATTCGGCAAGTAAGACGTGCGAATCACGAACGGACGAATACGACGTTCGAAATTATATGTCGTGAGGAACCCTCTATATACCAACTCAAAAGCAAATTTCGATAGCATTTTATAATAGCCATTTAAGCAGTTTGGCAAACCAGATGGTGTTTTCATTATCCTGTTGGTTTACAATTACCCTTGCGTCGTGCTGGTTTAGATGATATAAATGACAAATGCCGGCAACACCGTCTGCGGTGGTTTGGTCATGTCAAACGAAGTGGAAACAGAGCCATAACTTATCTTGCAGATGTTGAAGTACCTGGCTAACGTCCCAAAGGCCGTCCAAAGAAGTCCTGGTCGCAAACAATCGAGCAAGACATGAAAGCTCTAAATTTAAAGGAAATGGATACAACTGATCGTCTAATTTGGCGCAAAAATTTGATGGCAAAGAGAACAACGTCCTACCTCGGGAAACTGGGTCTCTGGACGCAAAACAAAGATTGATTGAATTTGCTGTGATATTGCTGATGTTTGCACTTCTACCAACTGTAATAGCTTGAAAATGAATGAACGAATAGAGCTCTGAGAAGTTTTCATTACAGACTCGATGCTGTGGTGAAACCTGAAAAAGCAACATATGTTTTAATGAACAGCGAATAAAGGATCAATTATAACATATTAAACAATTTAATAAAGACTTAACAAACCGCTCCAAATGGTTAGTTGTATGAACACCTTTGTTCATTTTCCCAGCACGTGCATATGCTGCAAACATATCTGGTCTATCAAGCCAGTTTGTTGCAAGATAAGTGTAAAATTCTGGATAATTTTTTTCAATTTCTAGTACATCAGTGTCAAATTTTTCTTTGACAGGACAATACACCAGATGCTTCAGCAACTTAAAAAAATAATATAAAGTAATAAAATTTACTTTGCAGTTTCATCTATTTTATAATCATCACAAATTAAATTAACTACCTTATACAAATGTTGATTATTATTTACTCCCTGTTTTTTCATTTCTTCTATAAATGCCTTCAGCGTATGAAATCGACAAGGATGCACATAAGCATTAGGATATACCTTGTTGATTGAATTTATTTCAGCATAATCTTTGTCAACAATGAAGATACATTCATTACTGACTCCTGCCAAAAAGATAAGAGATAATGCTTCTTCAAAATAATGAGCATAGGTAAGTATTCAACTTTACATGTTAATTCTTTTTTAATAAAATTTAAAAACAATGTTATGTGCTCTTCATCTTCTCGAGCAAGCAAGGCATGTGCTATTGGCTGTCCATGATGCTCAGGATCAGCAACAATAGCCAGAGTATGCAGGGGCATGCCATACTTATTGATTTTGTATGTTCCATCCATAAGAACAACTTCCCCATGTTTTTGTGCCAACTGTTTTTGAACATCTGTGCAAAAAGAAACAAGTGATTGTCCCATTCTCGTCAACTAAGATTTCACTTGTAACACCAGGCAATCCAAGCGTGGCCATCAGCTCCTCTTCTGGGATTCCAGTGAACCTGGCATTATGAAATATAATCTCAAATGCAATGGAATTCATGTTAAAATATATAATGAATAACCTTGTTTTTTGCTTCAAATTATATACATCTTTTTTTGCTACAGGAAAGTTTGATTGACGTATGAAATTTGTTACAAGTGTTGGTTTGACACCAGCATCCAACATATTTTTAGCCTGCCGGTTATCTGCATATAGTACAAATACAGATGCACCAACATCATGGTTGTGTTTCAAAGATATCTTCTTAATAATAAACTCCTAAAATGTTTAAGCAGCCATCACAAAATTTGCTATAAAAATTTACCATTTCATTATTAGATATTTCAATTTTTTAAAATATTATTATCACTATTAATAAACAAAATTTAATTACCATTAATCATTATTAAAAATTTAAGTATTATTATCACTAGCAACATACAACAATAAACAAAATTCTATTATCACTAATGTCTAGTCATTATTAAATATTTCAATTTAATTTTTATTACTACTTTCCGATTTTTGCAGTATGCAAAAATCGGAAAGTAGTAATCGTAAACTGCTGCAGTGCAACCACACAACAAGGATGCCTGGTTAGGTCGTGTCCCAGTTTTTTCAAATTTGCAGACGGTTTAACATTTCCATAGTGCTTACAGACCCAACTAATGCAATAACCATTGTCAAATATACCATAATTAATATTGTATAAAAATTTTAAATATTCATAATAATTGAACTTAAGGCTTGAAAATATTTTATAAATATAAAAACAACCTCTGACTGTATTGCATATCTGGGTCAAGATCAACAATTTTGGCGCTTTCCAGAATACATTTTTAACTTTTTCTTTAGTGTCACGCTTCATTGGATGGAATTTTTCTTTAAAAAAAAACTTTCTATCACATCAACGGCTGTTTCAACATTCACAAATCCATCTCCTAACTTTAATGACTCTGAACTCATTTTCTCAAATTAGAGTGATAAAATAACAAATTTAATTTTATTTAATTAAATTAGATCGAACAAAACAAAAATCAAGCGAATCTTCAAAAGCCTCGCCGCTCACAACTGAAGAAAAAAGGAAAATGAACTCTTACCAAAGATAATAAATAATAGTATTACGACGCGCAAATAAAAATTCATCTAAAAAAAATTTCTTTTTTAATTTATTTTCAATTGTAAGTAACTGAAATTTTGGCAAAATCCTAGAACAGTGCCTACAATGCAATTGAAAACACATTATAAATGCTGGAGATATGTATGAAAAAGAGAAGGCACATAAACAACGACCAATGAGATAACTGAAAAAGGGAACGCAACACAGCTGTAAGTTAATGAATGAACGAAAATACGGAGCCATCGAAGTGTCAATTTAAAATTTAAATAGACTTTAAAAAAATATAGAGCCATCGAAGTGTTAATGTCACGAATATAAATATCAATTAATCGATTGCAGGCGGCAATATAAATTAGTTTTTATATAAATTAAATTTTTGGAGAAAAAGATTGTATACATTTTATTCTCTTTTACCATCTCAAAATTTGTATTTTTTTTTTACATTAAATAATATCAAAAAAATGTACTAATAAAGATTATTATAAAAAAATTGAAATTAAAATTGAGAAAAAAGAAAAATTAAGGTATCATAGTCCTTAGCATATGTTGCATTTCTGTCTAGCATGTACAATGATATTTCCAAAAAGCAACTTACCGAATTTTTCTCTCAACATAAATTCAGCTAAAGCAAGTCTTTGGATGTCCCATACATATATTTAAAAGTACGCTTCAATCTTGCCCACATCGATTCGATATTTTGTTTGTGTGCACCCGTGACTGGATCAACAAAATTTACACTGTGATTCACTGTGATGTGAGTATAACCCAAGTTGTTCAACTGACTGTACGCACACCACTCATCAGAGACTATTGTTGTCCCAGGAGCAATCCATTTTTGAATTAGAGGGATTAGAGTTTGAGTCTCGTGCCTGTACCTCCTCTGCAAAATATATTCTTGTTCCTCGTTGTATTCCTCCAAACACCCATCTATCTGTTGTTTCTTCCTCTATAATATTTTGCCTTCAGAATTTTAGTTTCATCTATTTCTACAATTGTTCCGGGACCCTCAATCTGTGCAAAATTATCAATACAACGGTCTATGCAAACGTCTCGGCAAAAATTGTACCAGTCCACGACAGTATTTTTATTTATGCCAACCTCGCTTGTTGTCAAATATACAGGCATTTCCCATGCCCAACAATAAAGAATTTGTATAGTTTTTGACATCTCTAATTTACTATTTTAAAAAAATGAATCCTTTCGAATACTTGTCCTCATTTGACAATTTTTTTTGGACATCGCCAAATGACTTGGTCAACTTTATTAACTAAATGAATAACCTCGTACATTTCTTCCCCGCAGTTTTCGCAAAACATTTCCAGATGCAACAGATCATTAAACCTTAACCACTGCCTAGTTATTCTACGATTTCTAGTGGGACGATATAGCTTATTAAAATTTAAACGATTCAATATTATTGTCTGATTCATTTTACAATAAATCGTCTTTTTCAAAAAAGGAACTACGTCGCGCGAAAATAGATGTTTCATTTTGGACATATTCGAACAGCTAAAGCACGCATAAATCATAACCACTTCTAAACATTAAAAATTGTTTCTGCGGCATTTTTACTAGATTAATGAAAAAAATTTTATTTGTTAATTATTTGGTATTTTCATTATTTCATTTCAACGTTTAATTATTTGATGATATAAATGGCCAATAAGATTTTTTTTCATTTTTATTGTTTTAATAAAAATTATTTATTTCATTTTATTATTTTAATATAAATAATTTAAAATAATAAAATTTGACAGTTCCGTATTTTTTTAAATTTTTTACATCATGTTTTGACATTGTGGTCACAATCTCATTGGTCGTTGCTTATGTGCACTCTTTTTCATACTTATCTTCCGCATTTATAATGTGTTTTCAATTGCATTGTAGGGACTGTCCTAAGGGTTTTGCCGGAATTTTTACAAATACTCTTTAAAATAATATTCGGCATAAAAAAAATTTTGAACATATTTTTTCGTACGCACGCCTTATAGCAGTCTAACAAGTTCATGGTCGGCCGCCCGATAGATTTATCGTTTTTTATTTAAAATAACTTTTTGTTTAAACAATTTATTAAGCGTTCTAGGCACATAACCTGTTTTATATTTTAAAAAATGTCCTTGTTTTTTAATATAATTGTTTATTAAAGAAACGTTAATTAAAATATTAGAAAACACATTATCCGACAAAAAAAATGTGTGGGCTAGTATATCTAGTTAGCAAAGCAAAAATATATCTGAACAACAACGCAAAAGAAACTATGTAAAGTCATAAATGTTATAAGAACATATATAATATACATATATCAGTAATCAAATTCAGTAATCAACAATTTCATTTTATTTGGTTAAAACATTTTGTTTAATTAAACATTACAGTGGGCTAACTCAGGATTTATGTATGATACGTGTTATTTAACTTTATAATAAATGTATATATATCTACATACATATATGCATATACACATATATATTTGTGTATATATATTATATATATTTTACTTGCAAATTGTAATATTTTGTATTTTTATAAATTTACAGTGCGTTCAACCGTTTTGTGCGGAATCTTTCAATGAAAAAGTTTATCCGAAGGAAAAAATTCCAAAAACTGTTAAGAAAGTGGAAAAAAGACTCAAAAGAAGACTGGATATCAACAGCTATATAACTTTTGTAGATGGCAACAATTCTCTGATAAAAACGGTCCAATCAACCGAGCTTAACAAATCTTTCATAAAAAGAAGTGCTTTCACGGGAATAGAGAATGACGAACTCTTGAATTTCTACGATTGGACACCTGAAAAATTGTATTCAAAATTAGGAAAAACAGTTAAATCAACGAAGTATGAAACAACGAATAATACTAATAGGTTCAATCATCTTATCTACAAAAAACAGCTCTAGTGTATTAAAATTAGTTTTTATCATTTTTTTATCATATATCATATCATATGTTAAATGGGTCTCTTTTTTTACTATATTTGCGTAATGTTATTGTTTCGTTTACGATTGAAGGTCTTCAGGGAACGTTTCGATTTGGGGTAAAAAATACTATCGTAGTGTTCGATTTTTGATCAAAACGTTGGGCTCGTGTGGTTTTGTTAGTGGATACGACTATGATCATTAATGATAATTATTTTTCAAAAGTAATTGTTTTAAAAAGTTAAAATAAGTTTCAACCGTCTTACGGGTGACACTACAAGGTGATTACCAAAAATCGTAAATGAATTTAAGTAAGAAAATATGTGGTTCCGCGAAGAATACAAGCGCACAAAATGAATTTTAGATACAAAAACTGAAAAAATCATAAGATTTATAATTTTCATGATTAAAGTTTTTAACAAATTACTAGTATGGGAAATTAATTGATTTGAGGGAAAAATTATTTATTTGAGGGAAACGGCTTGGGCGAACCCCTTGCCAACAGTTAAAATGATCGTAATCTCGAATAATTCAGAATCATCATAGCAAAGTTCAAACTTAAGTCGATAAAGTCCTAATCTAGTAAAAAACGTTCAGATTAAATTAATAACAAAAGACATTCAAATAAGCATAAAATTTCAAATCTGCAAAAAATTATTTAAATTTAAAACGAAAAATAGTCCAAATGATAAATTAAAGTTCAACAAAATCAAACTATGTCAAACATTCTGTCACCGTAGTAAGAATCTAACAACACCTTGAAGGCATTTACAGAAGGCGCGTTCACCACTTCTTCCGGTAACTCGCTCCATGGTTTAACCACTCGATTTGAAAAGTAATATTTTCTGCAATCTTGTCTGGCCATACATGAACTTAATTTATGATTACGCCCTCTGATGAAAGCGACGTTGTTCCTTAGAAATGGTGGGCAGATGTCAGGATCGATCA